AGGGCGCTCATATTATAAGGTAAGGTTATAAAACCACCTTTTAAGATCATTTTAGTGAAAGTTTCATGTTCCTATCTCATAGAATTTAAGAACAATGATGAATAAATAATTTTCGAGCAAAATTTAAATGGCCGGCTGAATATATTACCGCAGGAGACGCAGCCGCGGAATTTAAATTACCGCGTCAAAGGGTTAAAAATAAAGTGATATCAACTATTGACTTGCTGATTCTGTTACAATTCCACCAAAAACCTTTACGGTTCCTGGGGGAGCTTCCAAGCTACCATGGCAATGCCAGAAAACTAGAACCCTACAGCCTCTACTTATCGATACTGCCCACCCTCCTTTCCATAATGAGAGGATTGAATTTTGGCATATGTTATACACCACAAACACAGAATTCCTTCAAGAGCATAAAAATTTTAAATGAAAAATAAATATGTAAACATTGTAGAGATGAAGAATAAGGGGAGAGAGATGCGTGTATCCCCCCCCCCACACACACACACACACACACACAGAGCAACAGAGAGAAGAAGAGCAGGGAATGAATATTGGCTGGTGTAATGGGAACACCCCTTCCAAATCATCACACATCAGTCCTCTTACCATTCAGCACTACATAGCCTAGATACTGACAGCACTGTATAGTAAACCACAAAAACAAAAAGAGGAGCAAATATGGCAGGACAGAAGGTTTTCTCTTACACACACCTTACTTGAAGCATGAACAGCCCATGATCTGAAATGTGTTCCAACTTCTATAAAATTTTATAAACAATAAACTCTTTTTGAAATTCTGACAGACAAAAATACAGGTTCTCATGAAACTAGTAAATGTGATTACTTAATGATTATGTTTACAATTAAGTTTATTTCAGTCCAATGTGACATATGATTCCTTCACCACTTCAGCACTTAGTTACCTTCTGAAGTGGTGAAGGCATCATATGTCACATTGGACTGAAATAAACTTAATTGTAAACTTAACAGTGTGACGGACCAGAATGAAACAAATCAGAAACAAATCAAATGTAATGATTATGCTTCAGTTGCAAAGGTTACATAGTGGTGAATGAGGTAGGAAGATGATCATAAACGGTATGAAGTACTTCTCTCAGAACAGCTGAACACAAATGAGATTTGAATGTGCACCCTCTTAAATACACTTCTGGAGTGCCACAACTACAGAAATCTACACAGATATGCCATGTTAACACACATGCCTAAGTGAAAAGGGGCCCCAATGAAAGCATATGGAACAACATCATGACACCACCTACTGGTGTAGCTCCCTGGTGGTCATATGCTTCCAGGTCTCTGCCCTCTACTGCCAACTGATGAAGGTCTCTCAACATCTGCAGCTCTGTTGAAGCACGTGTCTCATCTATCAGTTCCTGAGTCACTCCTCGCCGAGCCATCTCACCTTCAATGTAGTCCAGTGCGGCCTCATCTTCACAAATGTCATATGGCATATTCCCATCTGCATTCACAGCCAGAAGGTTGGAACCTCTGCAACACAACTCTGTTAACACTGATCTGGCACTGACAAAATGTGCACAAAGTTAATGTCCTGTCTTATCTGATGACACTTTCTGAACTTCACCAAATATCAAGCAGAGGCTGATTGATAAATTCACAAGGCCAGGGGAAATGGTAGTTGCAGCCAACAGTAAGTGTAGAGACTGCAGAAAAGCATAATCCAGTCTCCAGTCTGAAATTCAAACGCTTGGTTCCCAGAATGTAAAGCACAACCATATCATGAGGCTTGAGTACATGCAAATTGAAGTGGGCCACCTAAATTATACATTCAAATGTACATTCTGATTCTGCTTTGGGTAGGGAGCATGTACACTTACATTAGATTTTAGGACAGATTCCAAGTGCTGCAATTTTCATTTATTCAGTGAAAACTGTATCCGTTGTAGCCATAATGACACCAGAAAATTTGGAAATGTTATTATTCAGAATGTCTGTGAACTTTAATTTGGAATATTGCTATGAAGTATACTGTGGGTTGAATGTACAATAAAATTTAAAGAATTTCTGGGGCAATGGCTTTCTTACTGCAGCTGGCCCAGACTTCTGGTTTAGGCTACAGGAATAATGTGTGAGAATTACATTTAAATAGGACTGGGTAATTGGGTTTGATAATAAATGTATATAATAATGACGGATAGCTGAGGCAGTGCAGATCATCCTCAAGGGCTACTGGGGCTAAAAATCACTTGATTTTTGGAGACTAAAAAGAAAACAGACCTGATTTTTGAAAAGCAGTTTGTATATTCCATTTATCATTTACTTAAAGATAGAGTGGACAAATTAGTGTTTTGAAATCCACTCCTCTACTTTATAGCCTAATTTTATGTAAATGACAAAAAAAAGCAAGAATATATTGGAACAGCATTTTGTTAAGCTTGGTTGTCAGGGCTATATAAGACAAGCCACTCATAATATTAAATAGTGCTTGCACAAGACAGTTTCATCATGGCTTACTAGCAGAGACTGGGTAATGTGTATCTTCAGAGAGAATGGTTTTCCAATATTGTGTAAAACGTCTCACTGAGGGCTCCCAGGTGCTAAAACTAGATACTGTAAAGGTAAAAGGTAAAATTGTCCCTGTGCTCAACTATTTAAGCACTACGCCATGAAGGCATATGGTGAAGTGAATGTATAGATCCACATTTTCTTGACCTTGGCACTACCTGGAGGTGAGTAGGCAGCTTCACGCCCTGGCCGCTTTAGCCCCAGGGAAAGAGCCCCTGGTACCCATTAGACAGGAGCTTGGGTGGACCTCAGAGCCCGTTTGGATAATGTGGAGAGGAAAAAATTCTTAACCCTACCTAGACTTGAACTCCAACCCTTGTTTGTCCATCCCATAGCCAGTCACTATGCAGACTATGCTATCCCAGCTCCTAAAACTAGGCACTGTAGTAAAAATAAGATCATTTCAACAAAGGTTGCCAGTAGCAGACTGGGAATAACTCTTATGCTAAGGTCTTCATGTTCCCCTAGCTTCACATACATTCTGTTGGCCAGGTTCTGCTGTATAAAGGCAGAGGTGAGCACTTACACCAACGACATGTCCCAACAAACACAAGAATATTCTTTGGCTTCAGTTTCACTTAGGTCTTGGGCAGTGGCAGTGGAGTGGTATGTTCTACCATTCGCACTCTAACATTTAAACAAAGAAGAACACTTTCCTATGGAACCTGCAAGTAGTGTTGTGAAATACAGTCATAGTGACATGAAATAAACATTAAAAAACCTTATAAAAATCAAGGAAACTATGACGCCATAAGCAGTAGGGTTTTAGTGGGTATTCAAAATGTGACTTACTAAAGATTATAATTGCGCAGTAACATTTCCTGGTAGAAAGAAAACACAAGTATCGACTGTTGTGTTGGCCACAATCACACTAAATCAAAGTACAAGTTCTCCTTACACTAAATGTGAGTCACTTCTTAAATCAAAGTTTGCCACATGCAAGAAAAACATAAGAGTGGCTAAAGTCGGCACCTCCAGAACCAAAGGTTTGCCAGATACCTCATGGACAGGCATAACCTCTTCATTTATCATTTGATATCCTGTCCTGTTTCCCTTGGTCCACTTTTAATTTTCTTTTCATCACTTCTTATGTAATATGGTGTACATATAAAATAATCCAACAAGACACCATGAGGTCTGCCACACATAAGGCTGTTAGCTGCTGGCTTCAAAATGTGGTGGTCTGGGTTCAATCCCAGGTCAGGTCAGGTCAGGTCAGGTGTGATTTGTGGTGGACAAAGTGGCATTGGGACAGGTTTTCTCCGAATACTTCAGTTTCCCCTGCCAATTCTCATTCTGACCACTCCACACTCATTATCATTCAGAACTAGTATAGAAGGTGAAATAGTGGCTGATGTACCAAGTGGACTGAGTTTCACACCCCATCCCCAAATACCAATATTTCACTCTTTTAATCATCATATTCATAATTAGTTAATTTCTAGTTAACAAAGCTTTCTAGATCATCCAGTGCTGTATATTGCAGCTTTTACTGTACATTATTTACACTGAACTTTACAGATGGGACCAAATAATATTCAGTAAATATGACATTTAACCAGTATAGAAATGCTGAATCAGAATTTCACTATAATTAGACTTACTGAAATTACAGAACTGTAAAGATGACAAGAAACACGAATGCAAGGGATTAATGATGAAGTACAACTATGCACCAAAGCCAATTATAAACATATGGCATGGTAAGAGCTGCAAATTTATTGTTTAGATGACAATTCTGCCATGAAAAACTTCTTACCGACTGATGAGGTACCGGACAAGATGTAGATGGCCACAGGTAGCAGCAGCATGAAGAGGTGTCCATTTCTCACTGTCCTCTGCATTTACATTTGCACCATATTCAATTAAAAGCTTCATCATTTCCTCATTGTCATCAATACAGCACTGGCAACACAGAAACACAATGACTAAATATTAACTCTGTATAAATTCCATTAAGTTTTTATATACTGGGCATAATATGATTTTAGGTCTCCATTCACCATATTCCTAGGAAGTTTTGTTTCTAGTATCATATTTTATCTAACTTCCATGGAACTTGCTCCCAAAGAGTGGAACATATATACAGTGAAATTTTAGGACAGTGGAACTCTGAAGTGGGTCTGGTCATTATAGGTCAGATCACTCACAACTTCCTAACCTTGTGTTGCTTCTGGCTCCTGTTAGTCTGCTGGACCTGTGTGACAAGTAACAGTTCACTCAGTTGTGTTATGTCCTATGTCAAAATGCGATATGTGAATACAGACTAAAGCAAGTATCATTCCTAAATGAAAAGTTTTTTCTGCAAAAAGAAAAAATAAGATTTCAGCATAAACTTCAGAACACTATCATTCCAAAAGGGAAAACTATTTGCAGAAATGTAAACAAATTAAGACAGGATCATCATTGGACCAAAAAATCAAACTGAAAGTCTGAATGCTCACTGAACAGCAACTAGATGAGACTGGTGTTATAGCAGGATTCACATCGCTTGATGTTTGAGGCATGGCTGCTAACATCGTACTAGCCACTAAGAGACGTATCTCTTGTCCAGCTGAAATCTACTGCTGTTGAGTTTCAGAATCAAATATTATGTATACTCAGACAAAGTTTTCAGGAATTCAAATGAAACACATACTTAGGTGACAGGTCACATTTCAATCATTCCTTGTATTTATCCGAGACAAATTTTGATACCAGGTCTTGACAGTATGTCCAGGACAGAGGCTAAGACATATTTTTTATTTGATGAAGCATAGTGTAGCATGTACAACTGTTGTTATGCAATGGCTGCGAGAGTGGCAAGCAAACAATGGCCGTTTCTGGTCAACAGCTCAGTAAACATGTTCCCGGAGAAATGAATATGCACACAACAATAGAAGAACGGCGTTTTCCATGTGGTCCATGCCCAGTAGTTATAACCAGGCCGGGATATTTGGAGCAATGAGTCAGCTGAGTTCTGCAAGGGAGGCTGGGAAGAGATGGCAGTATAAATAAGCTGACAGTTCAGTTGTCGGATATTTGCTGGAGAGTATCAACATGTACCCCTAATGTCACTGACCAAGTTTTCAACCCATACAAAACCACAGGCAAAATTACAGTTTTGAATATTGTAATTTTTTCATTTTTAGACAGCAGATGGGAAGACACAAGGTTCTGGAATGAATAGAAGCAATTCAATCTCCCCTTAATTTTGTTACTGTTGTTCCCAAATATCTGAATTCTGCCACATTTTCAAAGCATCTAATAGCTACCTTTATGATATGATTTTCATTTCATGCATCGTGTTGTGTTATAATATACAATTTCTTTATTAAAACTGTCACAACACAATTATATTAAGGTCAGTGCCTAGTGCTAAACTAGGCACTGACCTTAATATAGTTGTGTTGTGACGGTTTTAATAAAGAAATTTTATGTTATGACTTTGCCCTGCATTCTGGTGATGAAACATACACTAAGCTTTCTCTTATTTACTTCCAGTCCAACCTCCTTACTAGAATCAATTAGAGTCTGTATTTTTCTTTAAGGTATCTATGCTATCACTCTTCACCAAGTATAATTTTAATGATCAAGACATAGCGTATGAGTTCAGCAGGGCATGTAGCATGAATGGGGGAGAATGGGAATGCATAGAGGAATGATCTGGAATGATCTGGCTCAGGACAGGGACTAGTGGAGGACTCTTGTGAACACAGTAATTAACTATCATGTTCCATAAAATGTGGGAAATTCTTGAGTAGCTGCACAACTTGCAGCTTCTCCAGAAGGGTGCAACTATATGGAGTTAGTTATCTATGTTATTCCCCAGTAGATTTACATCAGCAGCATAGACCAGCAGCTGATGTGTCCCATTTAATTTCAGTCCCAGCTGGTTTTCCTGGACCTTCCTAATGGCATATTCCAAAGCAAACTTGGAGAGCAATGACAACAAAGCATTTCCTTGTTTTAGAACATTGTGGACAGAAAATGTTATCGGACAAATGTTTACCTATATGGACTTAACTACAGGTTCCATTTAAATACATTTTAATCAGTCTAACTAGTTTCATGGATACCCCAAACTCTATGAGAATATTGCACAGTACTTCCTTCCTAATTGAATCATAAGCTTTCCTGAAGTTTTAAGTAGCTGATGTGTTGTCACACTGCACTCCTATTTTTTCTCCAGTATCTAATGAAAGACAAAAAATCTGATCAGAAGGTCATCTGTTACATTGAAACCCACTCATGATCCCCAATAATTTCATCCACATATTGACCTGACCATTAAAGGATGTGGATAAAATTTTGTATGAAGGTGATAACAGTGATATATCTTGATAATTACTAGTCAGTTTTATCAACCTTCTTGTGAATTGGCACAATAATGGACTTTTTTTACTGTTGAGGCAATTCGTCCTTTTTCCAAAGAGAATTAATGAGTTTATTGATCTCAGAACATAATGTTTCACCTCTTGCTTCAATCACTTCTGCTGGAATTTGATCCAGAGTTGGCAATTTACACTTTTAAACTTTACAATAGCAATTTCAATCTCAAAGCATTAGCCTCAAGTCCTAATGGATCAGCTGTGTGTGCTCTCACCTGCATAACAACACTGACTCTATGAACTTCAGTAGCTGAGAGAAGTAATTCTTCTCCAATTCAAAATATTGAGAGTCTCTGGAAGCAGATCACTAATTCTCATCAGACTTTAAAATACTGGGATATGCATTTTACATTAGACAATACATACATACATTATATAAATGCAGTAAATCAGACATTACAATGCTTTTCTCCCTCAGGAATTCAAAACTTTATCATTTTCAGATATTGCCCATTGTAAAATCAACCTCACACATACCTGATGTAGGGCAGTCAGACCATCTTCATTGGTTGAATCAGGACTAACACCTTTTATTAACAACCGCCTCACTGTAAAGAAAAATTAAGTCTATAAACAGTGAAAATAACCTCATCAGTGGGAAAGTTATAACATTCTCAGAGTGGTGGTTATGAAGACATCTCTTCTGGGATATAATGCCATGCAGTCTGGTGAAAGTAAATCAGCATTTCAAACAAAATATGTCACTTCCATCTTCTGGGCTGAAGGTAAGCCAAGCAAGAAATCAGCATGAAGCAGGCAGCAAGCAGTGTGTCTGACTTCAGTTAAAACTGTTGGAAATTAGTCCAGGCACCCTCATCCTTAATCCATTCCACCCACAAATCAAATGTCTCACCTTGAAGGTCAACACACTGACAATTTTCCTGTTGCAAGACCAATCTTATGGTGTAATCTGTGTTTGGACAGGAAAATAACTTAAGAAAATCTATGATCAAACTGTAAATCCTGCCTGAGTATATATCTGTATTTTCATACTTATCATACAAATGTAAACTTACTGATCAGAGTTCTCATAACATGTCTTGGAAAATATTTCCACAAATGTAAATACCATGGACTTAATATGTGCTTAACTAAATACCATGGACTTAACATGTGCTTAACTAATTAAGCATTATGCCATGATGCATAGACCCATGCTTTCTTGATCTCAGCACTAGTTGGTGAGTGGCCAGCTTTGCCGCCAGGGAAAGAGACCCCAGTACCCAACAAATAAGAGGCCGGGTGGACCCCAGAGCTGGTCTGGATGTGATGGAGAAGTGAAAATTCTTGACCCTACCAGGAGTCAAACTCCAACCCCTCACTGGTTCCAGCCCATATCCAGCCGCTATATGGACTGCACTACCCAGCTCTATACAACTATCATCAGTATTTAAAACTCCAGAGTTAAAATCCTCTAGTTCCATGCAACAAAGGTTAATTATTTTAATGATTTTTATTTCATTTAGCAAAATAATATATAGCACAGACATTCTGTACAAGTCTTATGGTAGATATGAACTAAAGGGACTCAGCCTACTGTGATGCTGCTCTCTACATAAAATGAAACAAAATTCATGCACATGCTATCACAGTGTAACGTCTTGTTATATATACTTAAGAGTATGAGGGTCGTACTGAAAGTCATGAGCAACAATTTTTTGTAAAGTAACATGCTTTATTATTGACAAACCAAATACACGACCTCAATCTACAGACCTTTCTTTATTTTTCCACATAATCGCCACTTCTTTGTACACATTTCTCCCAGTGTTCTGGGAGTTTGAAAATTCCCCTTCTGTAAAATTCAGTTCCAGCCATCCGAAAACACTGATGCAATGCTTTCTGGATTGCCTCCCTTGCCTCAAAACATTGTCCATGCAGCTGATCCTTCACAAATCCGAAAAGATGGTAGTCGGAGGGTGCCAGATCAGGGCTATAGGAGGGGTGGGGAAGAACTTCCCACCCCATCTTTGCAATTGCTTCCAATGTGAGGCAAGCGGCGTGGGGGCGAGCGTTGTCATGCAGGGTGATGATGTTTTGTTCCGGACGTTTATCGCGCAATGCACGATGGAGCTTGTACAGCATCTGGACATAACGAGCAGCACTGATGGTTTGCCCAGGTTCCAGAAATTCGGCCAGAATAAACCCCTCTGCATCCCAGAAGACTGTGCCCATCACCTTCGCAGCTGATGGAAGTGTCTTTGCCTTCTTTTTTGATGGAGAATGCGAATGGTGTCATTCCATACTCTGCTGTTTCATTTCAGGTTCGAAATGGTGAAATCAGCTTTCATCACCTGTCACAATACAGAGCAAAAAATCCCCTTCATGTCAATATCTCTGCAGCAGTTCTGAGGTGATGGCTTTTCGCTGACCTTTGTGGTCTTCGGTCAATAACCGCAGGACCCAACGAACACAAATTTTTCTATAGCCCAAGCTTTCAATCATCTCCTGTACTGCACTGTGCCCTATTTCAAGTTTTCGGGCTATTGTGTCCACAGTCACATGCCCGTCATCTTGAATCATCTCCTCCATGCTTTCCTTGTTGCGTTCAGTTGAGGCTGTTCGAGGACGACTGCTCCGAGGCTCATCTTTGATGCTGGTGTTCCCATTTTTAAAATGTTTCACCCATCTCCGAACACTGCTCACACCCATGCACACACACTTCCATAAGCACGCTGAAGTCTCTGGTGAATTTCTGCAGCAGGGATCTCTTCTTTCACAAGAAATTCAATGGCAGCATGCTCGTGAAACGACATATCGCTGTCTGCCATTTTGTTAGTAGTGATACTGGTCATGTGATGCAAGCTATTGATGTCACAAGACACTCAAGGTTAACACAACAGCTGGTTCCACCTACCACCGTACTCTCTTTCATCTGCTGTTCCCAGGTTGCAGGCAAAAAAAAGTTGCTCATGACTTTCTGTACGACCTACGTATATATACAGTCAGAAATGTTATACAATGCATGGTCTGGATTTAATTTTCAATATACATGTCACAGACAAAGAGGGTAACATATTTCTCAGCAGTGTTATTTGTCATGATACAAAGTTGTTATTAGGCATACTCAAGACATGCTGTACACAGCAGGGGTCACCTGAGGATGGAAACAGATAAACTTTCCAAAATATTGTCCTCTCTGATTTTCAGAGTGATTGATTGATTGATTGATTTAACATCCATAACTGTTACATTATGTACAATTGGACAAGTCAGTTTTTAAAAAAATATATGAGATTAAACATCACATCAAATGACTAATAATATAAAAAACCATAGAAAAATAACATAATAAGTCCTTTAAATATGATAAAACAGTGGATAAGTATAATAAGGCAACAAAAGCTAAACTATAAATTACATGCAATAGCTAAAATAAATTACCTAAGTATCTTTGTTCTATTATTAAGCTAATTCTTGTAAAAATATTCTTGAAGGGAATAAAAAGCTTTGCACAACAAGTAATCCTTTAATTGACGCTTAAAAACCTTGAACTCTTGAATACTTCTTATTTGAGAGGGCAAGTTATTATACAATCTTATTCCCATGTTAATCACACTCCTTTTACAACGTGAGGTGTTACATGGTTGGACATACAAATTCTGCTTATGTACTGTGTTATAACCGTGCACATCTGAATACGAGATGTTATATATCCTATTTTTCCTTAAAAAACACAACGTCTCAAAGATATACAATGAAGTTAAGGTTAAAATTTTAAATTCACCAAAAAATTCTCTACACGATATCCTGTTATTGACTCTTTTGATCAGTCTTAAACATTTTTTTTTGATTGTAAATACAGTTTGAATGTCCTTTTGACCACAGCCCCAAAAAATAATACCATATCTCAATAAAGATTCAAATTTCGCAAAATACACACTTCTCAAAATTGGAAGACTGACCAAATCTCGTAAGGATTTGATAAGATAGATGGTTTTGTTTAATTTTTGAACTAAATGGTGAATGTGAGAGGACCAACTTAAATTCTCTGTAATATATATACCTAAAAATTTTAAATTAGCTGTGTATGTTATTTTCTTATTATTCAAATAAAGTTCCGGTTTATCAATTTGACGGGGACCACGTCCCTGAAAAAAGAGTGCTTTTGTCTTTTCAATATTAATAATAAGATGATTTACCGCGAACCAATTTTCTAATTGATGCATAGAAACTATAGTTTTATCATTTAAAGATTTAAGATTTTTGTCAATAATTAGTATATTGGTGTCATCTGCAAATAAAACAACTTTCGCTTCATGAACAGCTTTAGGCAAATCGTTTATAAACATTAAAAACAAAAGAGGTCCCAGAACCGAACCCTGAGGAACACCGTACTTTATTTCCTTACACGAAGAGGAGAATGATTTTTGATTTGGAGACTTGGCATCAACATGGTCAATTTCTACAAACTGGGATCTACCCGTAAGATATGATCTCATCAAAGAGAGTGAAATTCCTCTAAACCCATAAAGTTCCAATTTAGCCAACAGTAATTTGTGGTTTATCACATCGAAAGCCTTGGAAAGATCCAAAAAAATACCCAAAGCAAAAAACTTATTGTCTAATGCTTTCTGAACATCCTCAATAAATGATTGCAGTGCTGTATGAGTTGATTTATTTTGTCTAAAGCCATTTTGGGCATCAGATATCAAATTATGTTTATTTAAGAAATTCACTACTCTGTTATATATTAATGTTTCAAAGATTTTAGAAAAAACAGGTAATAGTGAAATAGGTCTATAATTAGATAATTCTTGAATTCGTCCTCTCTTATGAATAGGGCGAACTTTGGCAATCTTCATCTGATCAGGAAAAATTCCAGTACAAAGAGACAAATTAAAAATAAATGTTAAAGGTTTACAAATAGGTTGAATACTAAGTTTTACTAACTTTTCTGGGATTTCGTCATAGCCCGCGGAGAGTTTACCTTTTAGTTTACTAGTCACACTAAGTACCTCATTTTCTGTAATTGGTACGAAAAAAATCGATTTAGAAAATGGAGTAACTTTACATGCTTGGTCATACTTAGGTTTTTGATCATTTAATTGGTTTACCATTTTTCCTGCAATTTCAACAAAAAAAGAATTAAAATGACCGGGAGTGAGGAGGGGGTCTAAGTCAGTCATGGAGTCCACATCCGAGGTTTTATAATTTATTTTAAAAGCTTTCCCTGATTCAAAGTTTATAATTTGCCATAACGCTTTAGAGCAGTTTGTTGATTTTAGGATGAATCTGTCGTTTTCTTTTTTACGAGCATCTGCTAACACATTCTTATAAATTTTTTGATACTTTTTATATAGTTCAAAGAATGCCTAGGAAGAATCAACTTTTTCTTTAAGTAACATAGAAATTGAAGCCGCTGTCTAGAAACTTTTATCCCTTTAGTAATCCATCTGGATTTGATGTTTTTTACATTTACAACTTTTTTNTTAGTTCTTTGAATCTCTATGACTCCACTCACACTATCTTGAACAATCATCTTTTTTACACTTGCGCTTGCCTGAGAAACCAAAGCTGATTTCGCATAATCACATTCACTCGATTT